AATATGCTGCTAATCTGGAAAAAGAGTACTCCCAAAAACCATCTAGGGAATTGAAAAGGAAAATTGACTGTACAAAAACGGTTCTTACTTCGTCGAATGCCAATACCGTGAGGAGTACTCCAAGGAAACCCTCGAAAGACAGGAGTGAAACTCCCGTACCGCGGGTTTCAGATGCGAACGTAGAAAAAGAAAATCTGAAGCTTAAAAGTCAAGTGGAAAGTTTGACGAGAGAACTAAATGAAAAAAAAGGCTTTGACTGAAAATTTACAGCAACAGCTGTCAAAGACTCAAACAGAACTTGAAAAAAATGCTGCGAACAACAGTCAGCAACTCAATGCAAAGAAGAAAGAACTCGAAGGCCAAACTTTTAGTTATAAAGCACTCATGAGATACCCAGATAGAATTTACTATATGACAGGATTATCACTTTCCGAATTAGATTTCTATATGAATGTTTGGAGCCTTTCTTGCACACAATTGTTTATCCTGATTGTAACAATGACGACTCGTCCCATCTTAGAAAGCTGGACACAAAGACAGAACTTATTAGTTTCTTGACAATTTGTAGACATGCATTGGACCTTGGTGTTATTGCATGGATGACTGGTTCAAGTATATCAACTACGAGTAGAATTTTTGTAGGATGGTGTGTATTCCTGAGCACCATTTTTGAGTCTATTGACCTGACCCCATTACCTGGATTTTTGAATGACCATATGTCAAAATGTTTTATGGAGTCAGGATATGGTGATACTGCTCTCATAGGATGCAACTGAAATTTGGATCTCTCAATCAGAGAACTTTGATATTAATAATATTACATTCTCAAACTACAAGAACCACACTACAGGGAAGATATGTTTGTGGACCCTTCCTCCTTGTTTTTTAGTCAAATGTACCGATGCATTTCCTTGCAGCATTAGTGATGCTGACATAACAGAGCAATCATGCGTGCTAGATACAGTCACAAAAGGGAAGACAGTTATGACTGACAAGGGCTTTAATATCACAGATATTTGTCATGAGAAAGGCCTGTTACACAATAGACCTCCAATGAAATTTTCTCATCAATTCGATGAGACTGAGGTAGTAAAGAACTTTGACATTGCAACATTGAGGATCTACATTGAAAACTACATAGGAAGAATCAGAGATTGGCAAATTCTAAGCAAAACTTGGCCAAGCTCAAGAATTGATTTACTTGGTTGCTGTTTCCAAATATTTG